GAAAAAGCAGAATTGAAATATATGAAGCCTGCACATAGTTATTGAGTGTTTCCACTTATCGTGATCATACTGTATTATACATATATGTATACCCAAATTGTGTTTACTTTAAAAATGTTACATAGTTTAAAAACAATTTGTAAAAAATTAAAAAAAGCTAATAGTAGCCTAGTAACTGAAGTTTACTATATAATAATAATGTATGAGTAATAATGTATATTTTATATTTTATCATAAACACCTGCAGAACCTCTTAAAATTACAAAAATTATATGACGTATATGACACGTGATATGGTGAAAATATTGTATTATATCATAATTATCTTAGTATAATATGGTTAATTTAAATTATATTTAGTTGATTTAATATTTAATTATTTTAGTACTTACATATTTTAACAACGAAGATTTGAACGCGTACATTCGACTCCGGCAGTGACACAAACACTTCTAAGCGTATTTGATTTGTCTTTTACATGAACTTCTCATAATTTATTGATCTTGAGAAAATATTGTTTTCACGGTATATTTTCATGCGTTTTTGCCGGTATAATGACTTTGTTTATAATACGTCACCAAGACGACAAACCATCGACCAACTATATTTTTAGTCGCTTAAATGTTCATGTAAACTTTTTTACTCTTCTTAACACATTTGAAGTGTCGTTATAATTAATTGTTTTTAGAATATAAATTTAATATGTAATTTTGACATTTATCTAAAGTTAATGAACTTTAAAGTTTCAACACTTCATACTAAATAATTTATTTTAAACACTTTTTAATTTTATTTTAATCATTTGATGGACGTACTGCACGTACTTTTACTTTGATTATTGATTATAAACTATAATTGATATAAACTAGTTGCTTTTGTTCTTACCGATTTGGTTTTAGTATACGCGCCTGTCACTTAATGAATCTAAGTTAATTTAAATTCACAGACTTCTGACACAAAAACAACCATTATGAATAATATAAATTATTCGTAATACTTAACTACTTTAAACAAAACTTAAGTAATAAAATTTAAATTTATAGAATATTAAATTGTATAAAAGTATTTTAGAATATTACAATTTTAGAAAACCGTGATAACCTGTAAACAATAAACCACTATTAAGATCTTAATGATTTATCTGTTTACATAGCGCCGCCAGGAATTTTGTCAGGGGGGTGCATCGTGCATAGTATACTTTGATTTCTAAATAATGTTTAAATTATTTTAATTAAATACGTAGAAATATTTTTTCAAGTTATATATACAAAGTTATTTTTGTTTTTTCGTCKGATACAAAGTTTTTAATAGATAATTATGCAAAAAAAAATCTTTTCAATACCATAACAATTTTTTTTTTAAAAGCCAGGGGTTAGCAATTTTACCCCTTTGCACCTCCCTCGCGGCGCCCTTGTTTGTTTATACTTTGAGTTGAAACAAATCTTTTATTAAAACTATTAATTGAAATTATGATTATCTTGTAATTTGTATATCAATTGAAACCTATGATAATTATTAAAACAATTTACAATTTCAGTTTTTAGAGGATCTTTTAAATTATGTCCAAAACTGTCAAAGTCTAAATATTTATATAATATATAATAATATGTTGTTATTGTAATAAATTATTTGCCCAATAAAACATGAAATTAAATATTTTGAAACAATAACCGATTTTAATCTACCTAGCAATTAACGCCATAAATACCGTTTTTCCATTTTCAATTCTTTGAATATTTTTTTTAATTAAAAAAATTTGATATAATATATCATTAAGATATTATCTTAAGATTATATTATTATATAATATAAATATTATTCTCCTTAACATTTTAGAAGGTTATAAAAATTATCATGAAGTGTACATAGATGTATTTAATATAAAAAAAGAGTAGGGTACTTTAAAACCAATATATATCATTTAACCTATCAAACACATGCTCTTAATTAATCATGCAATTAATGGCAGAAGCAACACCGATTCTTGACAACAATAGTAATATTAATTTGAGGCCTCAAAAAAACAATCCTTGCATATGAGCCTAAGAGATCATAGTTGCGGCACTAGTGAGACACTGATAACCTATCATAATCTGGATTTAATCATGATGCCAAATAATCTAGTAACATAATATTTCGTACCTAGTTGAAAAAATTGGGATGAGAGGTTTAGAAAAAGAAGCAACAAGTAAATCATCATGTTTCCCAATATAAATGTGGTAAGTATATACTTATAGCATAATAGGTAATCAGTAGCCAGTAGGTAGACAGGTATTGGTAGTACCACAAATTATATAAAAATAAATAATAATAACAATAATATTTTTATATAATCTGTGGTAGTACTATGTAAGGTAGGTGGTATATAGTATATTGGTATTTAGTCGAATGCTCTGTCAGGAAAATACTTAAAACTTCTGATATAGCAAAACACAAGAGAGGGGGATTATCAATAAAAACTACTTAACAGGAAAAGTTCTCAGGACTTGTAGAGTATTAATAAAACAAAAAATTATTGTTGGATTTTGAAAACAGTTTTATTATCTGAAAGGAGAAAACTTATTACAAGCCGAATTAAACTTTAATTTTATTAATTTATTTCAAATTATAGTATGAATTAAATTACAAAAAAAAAATGTCTTATTTTTAAAGACATAATATCTATTATTAAGTTTGAAAATAAAATATTTAAAAATGAAGTTCGACACGGTACAGGGATATTTCTCTTTATAAGTTAAAAATATATAATAATTATATATATATATATATATATTAAATTTGGACAATTCTACACACGATTTAAGATAGTACCGTCTATCTTCTAAGGATTCTAAGGGATAGGATTATTATTCYCATAGTATGAGGGAATGAAAATTGAGAAGTATGCTCAATAATATTTTTTTCATGTGGAATGTAGTACCTATAATAATTAATAAGCAACAAATAATTGTTTATACAATATGACTAGTGTATTTTTATGGAGAACATTACATTGGCACCGGGTCTTAATTATAGTTGTTGCAGTTTCTGAAATTGGTGATGGTCTCTGGTGAAAATGAAATAAGATAAGTCGCATATCTTATTCCTCTAGCTTATAATATTTCCAACTTGTTCCCTACTTCTATCTAAATTMTTAGTGATCTCACGATACATAAAAAAAATAGTTATTATGAATATTAATTATTATCTTATTTCTCTATGTAAGTAAAATTTTAAATACAATTACTAAAACTGAAAATCAACAGCCGTTTATTTTTTTTAATTGCTACAATG